TATGAAGTCCTTTTCACAGCAGGAAAACTATAACATTTTGATTCCCGGATAGCTGAACCTATTTTCTGTGACGACTTGTTAGGAAGTTGAAGGGACTTCCAAAGTAACAACACCACATTCAAGGTTACTGTTATATTTTTACCCATGCTGAAGGCCCAACATAACTACGAATCCCTCCTTCTATTTATTTTTTTGTACCTCGTATTTAATATTTTTTTTTCTTCGTACTTATTTTGAATTTTTGTCTTATTGGTATCTATTTATATTCTATCGGTATTTAAGACTTTGAATCGATTGTACTTCATCAAAAATTAGTGTATTTTTTTTAATACTATCACTCTTAATAAAACCCCTTTATATTTTTAACCGACTTCACAAAAAGGAGAAGGTTATCAATTCGTCGGAATATATATTTTTTTTATGTATGTTACCGCATAACTTTGGATCATGTTAACCGATTTCTATAATTTTTAATTCTTTTTTTTAAGGAAAAGTATTACTTCACAGGTGGTCCGATCATTGGATCATGAAGAAATTAACGATAATCTTAAATTTTTATATGCGAATTTTATTTTTTTTGAATTTTATTTTTTAATACGTATTTTGTAGTTTATGTTTTGCATTTTGGATTTTGTGTTTTATATTTGCTGCTTTGTATTTGTACTTTATATTTTTGTGTACTTACTATTATACTACTCTGTTTCGACGCTTATCTTTACAAGAGGTCTGCATCCGAAGATATTTGGTTTCACATTGACGTTTTCTAGCGAATACGCTTCTTTCTCATCCTCTCACTGAGAGCGCGGATAGTGAAGAGAAGTATAGTCGCTAAGGATCGAGTAACTAAGTAAAGTACTCGATAAAAATATGTTCCGAAAAAGAGAGGAACATAAAAGAGGAGTACTACGTTGTGAAACTTTCGCAAGTAAGAGGTTCCTTCATGTGAAATTTTCAAGTATTTATTTATTTACGCTTATTTCTATACGTTTTTATATATATACATGTATATATGTACATACATACATAAGAGTTTCTTTAACGAATTTGTATGTCATTTCTCCATATCCACCCTCATAATATGTACATCAAATTTAAATACTGAAACATAATTTTGAAGGTCAGCTTTACCGCTTTCGGAAAAAAATGCAAATTTTTACATAGGGTTGTCATCTGTCTGAAAATAAAGTGAATAAAATATGTAAGGGGCGTAAAATTTTGCGACGCTTTTATCGAACGAAAGGCATTTCAGTGCACTTTTATCAAGAGGTAGTATTTTTAATAGGGTTGCTGATACAATATAGATTTTTCGGTTCGGGATTTTGGGACTTATCGATATAACAATCGATATTTTTATCGGGGTTGTTATCGATATTTTTATCGAATTTGTTATGGGTATTTTTATAGATTTTTTATCGAGAATTTATCGTTTTTTATCGATTTTGTTTTCGATATTTTTATCGATTTTGTTATCGATATTTTTATCGCTTTTCTATCGATATTATTAACGATTTTGCTATCGAAATTTTTAACGAATTTGTCATCGTTTTTGTAATCGATATTTTTGTAGGATTTGTTATCGATACCAATTGCATCGATTCACCTCTAAAAAAGTTGTCTAAAAAGTTCTTACTTCAAAAAATAAAACCAAGGTCCTTAATTTGACATCTAGTCTTTTTAAATTCGAAAAAACTGTGCATATCTGATCTTCTTCAGAAATAATTGCTTCATGTATTCCAATACCCATATTTTAGTATGTACGTAAATATGTATGTATATATTTCATTGATCTAACCCCCTTAATTTTAGTTGAATTTGATGTTTTAAACGGGTGGCAACACTCCTACATATTTACTAGAAATGGAGCCTTTTCAAACCAACTTATATTTATACCATACTTTAGTAACTGATTTAACTTATTAAATAATTTTAATTCAAATTTTTAACAGGTGGCAACCCTTAAACAAATTAAACCTCAGTATACATCTACAGGCCAAGCGCTTTAATATCACACCCCATTTTTGGAAATCGAACGAATGCAAACCTGATCACATTCAAAAAAAAATGTCTTCGCGTGTTATAAGTAGAATCCAAACCCATAAACAGAACATAAAATTTCACGTGCAGTTTGACCTTCCTATGTGAAGTTTCCAAATCCTACGTTCAAGTTGCCTGATACTTATGTATGTGAGCATAGCGGAACACGTATTTGGTGAAGGAGAGCGCCGTCGAGTAACACCGTTCAGGTACGCTCATTTGAGATGTTCTCTACTTTTGTTACTTTTTTTTTTGTGTACCGCAAGCATGTGCTCCTATTTTTCGATTGAATGTGAGAAGTGCTGTTTGGCAGGGAACTTTGCAGCCCTCTATTATCTACTTACTTAAGTACTCTGTGAAGTTTGATGGTTTTCCGGAGGTTTAGAGACTATCAGGAGTAGCTTTTTTTACAAGTGGATTTGTTTTCGACATATCCGGAGCTCTGAATAACGTCTCCATCGAGTCACATATCACTGATTTGAGGTGTTGGGCTATGACAGTTGAGTACAATTCAGCGACGATGTTGAGGAAAGCATACGGCACTTCTCAGGGAGGTGTTCTGCCTGGTGTGTTCTTGTAGATACTTGCGTTCAGCAAGATATTACTAAAGAAATTTAGGGTCAATAGACAAACAGCTGTGGCTGACGATCTAGTCATTACCATCACTGATAGATTTCAAAATCTTCAAATTTGAACATGAGAGGCGGACCCCGATCCTAAGAGTACGAACTTGTTACTTTTACAAATTCCATTTTTAATACCGCAATTCAAATCATTTTTAGTCCTCTCAGGTTTCCGATTGTTGAAACCTCTTTAAGTCTACGTTCGCCAAGCGCGCATGCAAAGTAAACATCATTCTTTGTGAAAGTGAAAGAGAAAAAGTTCCATAATGCGCAACTTAATCGAATATACTAAGTATGTATTTGAAAAAGTACGCATGTAAATCCGTTTGGTATCAACGTGCGTGCCTATGCGTTTATCAATGCTCATTCCATTGTTCTTATTCGGTCATGTTACATTCTCAGCTACCAACATAATTTTTTTTTTTTTCGCTCATCGCAGCAGGATAGCTCCCGAGGGTGCACTCATATAGCAGATCCCTAGCGCGTATGCCAAAAAAGAGCGAAACAAATGTCCATTGCACGCATAATCGTAATCAGTTCATTGTTAGCGCGCCATACACACTTTTATGTAGACTGTTTGGCAGGAGGTAAGGATGGAAATCATAGACCTTTTATGCTCATTAGCTTTGTTGCCGATATTTTGCGTGCAGTATGCAGTATCGGCAAGGACGATAATGATATCAAACCCACAATACAATACAAACTGAATAGCATACCAAATGAGAGTAGCAGCATACTTTTGGATGCTTAGATTTTATATGAATTTTTGTCTACGCAACTAGCTTGGCTCGAATCACACAAGTCCCATAAGTAAATATGGGTATTTTGATAAACTCAATAACCGAAATGGTTTTCCATGTTTACTTAGGGTACGCAAGAGACGTCGATAAGCGGTTATGTGTTAGTAGTTGTTGTATTTAGTGTTTGTTGTAGGCGTGTGCTACAATTTAGCGAACAATAGAAATAGCTGTAGCGAGTTATGGGGTACGCATGCAGTGGTGTTAATTTTTGCGGTCATGTCGAATGTAGCATCTTCTAGTATTTCAGAAGACACTTGGGATTATAATTTGTTTACCGCTTAAAGATTACACGAAATCGAAAGCAAACGCTGAATATCTGGACCACTTTCGTTTTTGCTTGAAGCAAAACTGAAGTGAATTTCAATTTCTGTAACTTGTATGGCTAAAATGGAAGTGAGAGACCTATTGAGTTGATAAGGATTGAACTTGGGGGAGGGATACTGAAAAAATACTAGTAATGGCAATGGAATAGTATTGGTAATGCTCATAGCGTTTGTAATGGCAATGATAATGATAAGAGTTATGGTAATAGTTACGCCAACCGTAATAATAACGGTAATGGTAATGGTTATAGTAATGGTAATCAATGGTGATTTCAATGGCAATGGTAAAGGTAATTGTAATGGAAATGATAATGGAAATGCGAATAGTAATGGTAATGTTTATGGTAGTAGTAATGGTAATGTTAGTAGTAATTGTAATGGAAGCAGTATAGTTCCTGTCAATTGCAATGGTAATGGTAAGAGTAATAGTAATTGTAATTATAGTGATAATGGTAATGCTAATATTAATGGTCATGGCAATTGTATTGGCAATGACGATGGTGATTGTAATGGTAAAGATAAGGGTAACAGTAATGGTAATTGTAATGATAATGGAAATAGTAATGGTAAAGAATGGCAATGGTCTTGAATGGTAATGAACTTCAATGGTATTATCCTTAAATTATGGACCACATTTCAGTACTTCAACAAACATGCAAAAACAAAGTATCTATTTCATAACAGTATGTTAGTAGTTTATTCCAGAATATCTCAAAAAAAAAATGCTTTCCCTCTCAACTTCGAAGTCCGTAGCTTACAATCTCAAGTGAATTTATGCCACCGAAATTCACATGCACATACTTAAGGAATTTTCATTTTCAAATTCCTCTACTAACCCAGTAAAAACTCACTTGTCTACTTTCGATCGACCGAAAAAGCTTTTAAGACACCTCAAGTTGCACGAATACTTAAACCTAACTTTTACTTGGTGGAAACTTCCCAAAAACCGCTCAACTTTAGTATTTTCAACAAGAGAAGAACACACAAAGCAGAAGAATCTAAAATGCTTTAAGACATCATGCTTTGTGCTTCCATAACACGCACACGCACAAAATTTATTGCATACTTTCATGCTCATCTAAAATATGCGATGAATTTTGCAGGAGAATATATCGCAAAATGCTGCAAGCTATGTGAATTTGGTAAAAAAAAAGAAGAAATTATAATGCCACAAGCAACTGCAGTGATGGCAGCAAAAGAAGCAGCAAAAATTCATAACAGCAAGTAGCAAAAGCCACGCACACAACAATGGGATTTTGAAAAGCAACGATAACTGATTGAATTAATATTGAGTTTAGCCAGCAGAGTTGTCGCGTCAAATAGACACGCGCGCGCGCGCGTAAATAAGCGAGAAGGCAAACAAGTAGGCTGCATGCACGCATACATATACACACGCACGCACACACACACACAACGCTCTCGCAAGCCATAACGCCTAAAATCACACAATCGTTTAGCAAAGTGTTTATCCAATAATGTTGCACGCGAATGTCAAATAACTTAGCATTGACTTAGTAACAGCGGGGCAATGGCAGTGGGTTTGAAAGGGTAGGAGTAAATTTGTGAAAACGCTATTGGAAGCTGAGAGCAAACCTTGGCATAGGCAAGCATTTTCATTTGAGTTTGCGTGTATTCATGTGGAAATGTTTGTCTCAACTACAAGGACGTCACTAAAGCTAATATGGTGCTAAAGGTCATGGGATGGGAGTTTTCAAACAGCTAGCGCCCAAAGCATGATTATCTGTTGGCATTTACTTGCCACTCAGCACATGAAAGGCACGTTCTCATTTACATATGCTTTTATATACAAAGTTTGCTTGATTAGATTTTTATTTAATATTACATTATGTATAATAAGCCATTATATGAAAGGCCATATGGCGATCACGTTCAAAGCCTTGCAAAAAATTTCCCTTTCCTTGTTGAAGATTTGTACATTTGAAAGAGAGAGAACTCGTTTAGCTATTCCTATGCGCGTGCTCTGTAATAGGAATAATATACTTCGGTTTTCTAGGCAAACGCATCTTCGAAGGTAAGACATTTGTTTGTTATGATCTAGATTGAAACAAATTGAAAGCATAAGCTTGATAGATATCCCCAAAAATGCGAAATTGGTCTCTTTTGATGTCAAAGAGCTTTGGCTACCAGTGGCAGAAACAATGGCTTTCTTAAGTAAAATTATTAACACCCTGAAGATAACACTATGTAGATCAAAACTATTTCAAGTTCAAAAAGTAAAAAATATAGAGGCAATCCGACGGACTAGGAATAGGTTTTGCCATATCCGCCATTCTAATGGAGGTATTTATGCGAAATTTGGCTGAAAAATAGATGGAGGAACTAACAACCAGACCAGAAAGGAGCAAAACTAAACATATTGGGTAGTCTTAATCCACACCGCCAAAACGTCATAAAAACTAGACAAATTATTCCAGAAATACAGCAATAGCACAGCATTGAAACCGAGGAGCAACGTGGAAATGATACTCCAAAATAACACAGATGAGAAAGACCTATTAAAAACGAGATATCGTGAGCACCTAAGGGACTCCAGCAAAAAATATATATATTATACCAGAATCGAACTTCGTAACCCTTATGGCAAAAAAACAAATATACACCAAAGAAAATAAAAAGGCAGCTAAAATTATCGATGCGTAGCATAAAGGAAAACGCAGTCTAATGCAAATTCTTAGTACCAAGAGGTTTTGTGGAAGGGCGTATGTATGTAATATGTATGTGGTCATCCTTTGGCCACACTGATCCTATACTTTCATCTCGTCTTCTCGTTACGGCCTCAAGCAGCTGCAATATTTGAGTTGCGAAAGCGATAGAGACCATTTGATCAGATTCCCAGATTTTGAGTATGATGTCTTTAAGCTTAAACAGACGGCAGCGTTGATCCGGATTAACTCGGACTTAATCCGGATCAACTGCAGTTAATTCCCGAGTTGATCCGGATCAACACTGTCGTCTATTTATGCTTTTAATCTTAGGAACAAAACGATACTAGTAAATACAAGTACATACATACTCGATACATTTCGTCCGATACCAAGTAATTTTGGTATCGATACTTTTGAACCGAGTAGCGAGTAGGTATCGGAAGAAAGTACTTATATCGAAACCCGATGCAGTGACAATTTTACTATCGGACTCTTAATTTTTAATCTAATTATTATTGTGAATAGCTAAAAATTGTCGGCAATTTAGTTTCCAATGAAAAGAAAGACCAATTATCATTTCATTAACATATCGCTAGCTTTAAGGGAGAAGTTGCTAAGTCCAATTTTTGCGAAAACCCATATTTGGATATACATAGGAAGCAAAGTAAATTAAAAACGCAATGTCTCCAAAAGGATTAACTAAGGTGCTTGTTTTATTTCTTCCCGTTTATATTCAATTAAAAGCAAATTTACTGAGTCCAGAAGAGGCGCAGAAAAATCGATAAATTCACAAAAAATTCTAAATCTTTTAGTTTGTAACGCAACCGTCTTAAAAATTCTTGAAGGAAATGTTCTGAAATGTTTTTTTCCTCCCTTGCAAATTTTCTACAAATGGACTTAGCAATTTTTGTCCTCCAAAAAGTATCAACATGATTACTTCTTTCAGAAATATAACATTCGTACTAAGCATAAATGCTATTGAGCAGTGTTCTAATATACAGAGCTTTTACTTATTAATTAACTTGTATGAAATTATAAAATAAATGTTTTTGATCTCAATCGCTTTCTCTTTGTACAAAATAAACATATATGTATGTATGCATAACGCTTAAAATACAAACATAAAAAATAAGAAAATTATGTTAACAAAATTCTGTGGACTTTTTAAAAAACCACTAATTGGACTTTGCACGTATTTTTGGAGGTCTTCCTAGTGAAACATATTTTAAAACTGAAAGTTTTTCTTAAACATATTAAATACTATTCGTCTAAAATCAAAAATGATAGTCACATAAGTTATTTTGACAAAAATTCATAGATATGTGAAATCGTTGTTTTAAACTAATATCGATATAAGTAGGTATCAATACTTTTACCCCGATACTTACTAGGTATCAATAATTTCGTTCTTACAACTCCTTACTTATGACCTTCCCTAATCGTGTTTAGTCCTATTACCCAGAATTGTTCAGTGGTGAGATCGCCGCTTTTCTGACTAATCCGTTCGCTACCTATTTCCATGTTTCAATTTGTGTCCTGTTACCCAAAGTGGCTGCATGTCGTTGTATTCAGCAAGGGACTCTCACTTAACCTCGAAGGTTAAGAACGTCGTAGGTTCCGCTTGTCTCTCGGTCGCTATGCCTAAGGATTCTCTCAGTACGGTAATTACTACGTAAGTTCATCTCTTCAGAACGATTGATGGCACAGACCTCGGTTTTAGACATGCTCACAGTCACGGATATCCTTATCCTGGGCGTGTATATGCTCCAATGTAATATATGGTTTTGGTGCTGGGCTACATGTACCCCTCCATAATGAAGCTAATTCAGATTGCATTGCTGTAGAGCTCTTTTTCGAATTTCTTTCCGAAAACAACTACAACGTTCATATCATCTGTGGCAAAGAGAGGTAGCCGGAGCTCGAACTTTCAAGTGCTCCTCTACCACAACCATATCTTCCGAAGTTTAAGACAATACACTAAGCTAACACAGCGATGGTGATATACGAAGGTTTGATTTCGAGAATTACCTGCAATTGTTTTGGCGGACAAGCCCGATATTGAAGCTTAGTGTGTCTGTCTCAACGTGGCTAAAATGGTTATCGAAACTCAAACCATCCACCCATAGGTCACTACCGGTCGTACGATCATGTTGTACATCCATCTTAGGATCGTTGGGCTGTACCGCCAAGACTGATTTACTATACACATTTCTAGATACCCTTGTACCTGCTATTGTGGTTGCGTCTACGTGAGAGTTCGAAAGAGGTTTAGAGTGAAGAAGTAGCCCAAAATGCACATACTTAGCCTAGGAGAAAACGTTTTCTATGACCTCACTACAATTTATATATATATCATAGATGGAAGGCCTATTTTCGCTGCCATAGCATACGATGGTCGTCGTAGAGGGGCTATATTGAGACCCGCATCGACTAGCCAACTCTTAGTTAAGTTTAGAGTTATTGGTATTAAGTATGTATATCGCAGAGGGTATGTACTCTACTTATTCCCAGTGGAAACTCTCAAAATGTCATCCACATATCCCTGGCAGCGAAACCCATTTCAAAGGGCATTTACTAGAATATTGTCTCTCTACACTCGAAGGCGCCTTCTAGGTCTATTATGTCTGCTCATAAAATTCATTAGCACCAGATTGAGAATTTAAAAGTGCCCATAAGCAGCAGAAAGCAAAATTTCTAACGAAAGAAAAATAAGAACCACTAAACAAACAAAGCAGCAATAATAACAACACAAAGCACAATTAGTGCGCGTTAACTAACAATTGTCAACACGATTGAATGCAATAGCAGCAGCAGCACGAACAGCAAACCACACACAAATTAGCAGCAAACACAAAGCGAAAAAAGCAAGAACACAGCAAAGTACAAAGGCAAAAAAAAAGCTAGCAACAATCTAATGTCAACT